TCGTTAATTTTTGTACCACTGAGAGCACGAACACATGTGAACGGGATCGCGCTGGCACTTGTTTGTCAACAAATTTCACCCTCCCTAAGTACATATTCATCAGGATTTGTTCTTTCGATGAGAGATCTTAGGATCACAAAACTAGAAAGTGAACTCATTGAGGTTAGGCAAACAATGGAGGAAAAGGCAATTTCTTTAAGGAACTGCAATGAAAGAAATTCTTAATGTACCTATCCTTTTTTGGACGTGTAAATTTCACACTGAGAAATACTGACTGTGTAAACAACTTGAGTATGTTTGCCATTTAGGTGCATCGTTGCTATTGCATGAACTGTCTCGAATTCGTTCGTCAACGAATTGCTCGTGCCAACCTCAAGATGCCGCAGTCTATGGAAAGTGTCCATCAAAACATGATCATGGATATACGATCTCAGTTGCCATATTAAAATCTTTACGGATGGATGCACATCAAACGTTAGTTTGTACTTTGAAGATCATAACCACAAAGTATCCCGCTTAACTTGTTTTAAATGCATATCATTTATTGTTAAATGTAACATTTGAAATGCAATCACACATCTAACATTGACCAATGGCTTTTATTGTAAAATCTCTAAAAATACGCTCAATAAAAAGAAGCGATAGAAATTCCATAGTTCATCATAAAATTAATACGGTCACGAATTTGTTTTTGAAATTAAAAGTGGTTTTGAACCGGCACTTGAAGGGAATTTGCAGAGATAAAGAAAGTCGGCTGGAAGCGATCGGTAAATTTGCTGATGCGCTTCGAGCGCGATTGAAACGTTCACATTGCGAGGACGACGCTCTGATAGCAGTATCGGTTGATGATCGAGCGGTAATTTATCGTTTCACTTGATTAACGTTGATTGATCCGATTGAATGGAAACCAACACCAATTGAAGTTCATCGAAATGCTTCAAGGAGCATTGATACCTTCTCAAAAACATGTTTTTTTGAAAAAAATCGCATCAAAATTCAATTGGAAAGGAAGAAGAGCACTCGCTCCAGTTTTCATTGAAGACATAGCTTCTTCGCAAGCAAATAATGAGATTTCAAAACTCGAACATTTTGCCGATAATTCATGAACAAATGTATCTCTGTGTTTCGATCGATTGAGTTTTTGAAACCTTCAAGATTTGGACGTCAGTTGGCAAAGTTGCAAGGCGCATACTCGGTCCAGAAGTTGTGAGCAGTGTGAGTCGACGTGCAGGTGAGATTCCATTTTTTGGTTTTCTAAAAAATTAACCAAATAACTAGTAGTCGCTATGCCGCAGTGTAAACTGAGAAGATTTGATTGCATAACTTGTTTGAAACATGCCCAACTTTAGAGTCTGCTGAAGTGTTCAGTGCCCCAAGCAAACCATAAAATTTTCTATGAAGTCACCGTTAAAAACAAATTCAGCCAGTCATCTGCGATATATTCCGTGAGCGGTCAATCTGTCTATAGACATTTAGCCTAACGACAGTTTGCCTAACTTACGATCTTTTAATGGATATTTCGCCTAATAGGCAAACTGTTCCTTAGGCAAACTGTCCGTCAGGCAAACTGTCCGTTAGGCAAACTGTCCGTTAGGCAAACTGCCCGTTAGGCTAAATGTCTTTAGGCAGATTGATCGGGTACCATATATTCATGTCATATACTTTGATAAAACCATCGAATTTTGTGAGCTACAGCCAAAACGATTTTTGATTTACAGAATCGTTGTTTACNTCTGGTAACTATACCGAGGGTCTCTTCTATATGATACAAATGTACGGTCAGGCACTGCGAGGCGAGATCATGAATTTGGAATCTGTCCATAGATCTGTCTTACCGATACCTTTATGGGCTCTAATCATAATCAGTATTTGCGCAATAATAGTGCTCATCATGATCACTTCATTGTTAGTTTACTATTGTTGTATTCGGAAATCCGAAAAGTATACACTTGGTACCAGAGTGTAAACAAAACTTATTCACTAAGCGATAGTGAGCATTATTTGAATAATTTACCTTTGGATGTGAAATTACGCTTGGTAAAATAGCAATTTCCCGGTGTTTGCAGCGAAACAAGCTGATAGCCATCATGTTTTCTTCTGCGTTATTTATACATGTGTACTCCATGGCTGAATGGATCTCAAGTACTGCATGAGATGCATTGGTTTCACCTGTTATGGATTGTTTCCATAAGATTTACAGAAAGTAAACTGAAATTATTACCAAAGCAGCAAGCACTTGTGCCTAATATATGATTCAGACAACTGATGATTTTTCTCTGAAAAAATTTTTCTCAGTATATGAAGCAAATAAATGTGGTTAGTAAATCCTCTTCCTTTACACGAAGTCCATTCAGCCATGCATGTCGCTTAAAGTTTTCGATGTACA